CTTCTCCACGCATCACCATTCCCCCAGTTAATGAGGCTACAAACCTTCTAGATTTATGTTCTAGAGGGACTCATGAGACATCTGCAGGGATGGTGACAGCACCATTGTTTGTGACAGCCAAGCACGGAAAGCGCCCAACACCCACTGACAGGAAAACATCAGTTCCATCCCCAAAACGGAATCCTACACAGCCGTGGAAAGGAACGGATGCTGGGGACGTGCAGCCTGAGCGAATCTCGCCAACGCGGTGCTGGACGAAAAGGGCAAGTCACAGAATCATGCCGGGACTATGGTCGCGTGCTATAAACTCTAAAAACAGGCAGCGCTAACCAGGAGGCAGTCCCGAGGTGCTGCTGTATGTGGTACGATTACAAAGAGGGGGAAGTGATGATAAACCCAAGGTTCAGGTCAGTGAGAAGCCCTGGGTGCGGGAGAGGGGTGGGACCGATCACCCCACAGGGCTGCAGAGGGGTTTGGACTGCTCTCTTTTTAGAAAAAAGTTCTGGGGCGCCTGGGTGGCTCAGTCGTTAAGCGTCTGCCTTCGGCTCAGGTCAGGATCCCGGAGTCCTGGGATCGAGTCCCGCATCGGGCTCCCTGCTCGGCGGGAAGCCTGCTTCTCCCTCTCCCACTCCCGCTGCTTGTGTTCCTGCTCTCGCTATCTCTGTCTCTGTCAAATAAATAAATAAAATCTTTAAAAGAAAAACAAAAAAGTTCTGTGCTGACTACACGGGCTTTCATTTCATAACCAATGCTTTAAATCCTACAGAAACATTATAAAGACTCCGTTGTACCCATGGTCTACTGCGTAGTAGATAGTTAAGGAGACAAGCCTGGAAATCTGCAGTCACTCGTGACCTGCCTCTCTCCAGTCCCCCAGCCTTGCCCATCAGCAGTCTCGTTGCTTCTGGTTTCACACAGTGAACCGAGCGCAGTCGGTTGGCTGACAGCGAGCAGCCTTCCGACCTGTGTCTTTGCTCCCCCACCGTGTTTCTTTTCTTTTATTTTCTTAAAGAATTTATTTATTTATTTGACAGAGAGAGACAGAGAACACAGCGAGAGAGGGAACACAAGCAGGGGGAGTGGGAGAGGGAGAAGCAGGCTTCCCGCCGAGCAGGGAGCCCAACGCGGGGCTCGATCCCAGGACCCTGGGATCATGACCTGAGCCAAAGGCAGACGCTTAACCGACTGAGCCATCCAGGCGCCCTCCCCCACCGTGTTTCTTACCCCAAAATCCCTTCCCCATCTAGAGCATTCTCAAAGAATGTAGACCAAATCACGTCACACTCAGCTGAGAGGGTTTCCCCCCGCCTCAGAGCCACAGCCAAGCTCATCCCTGTGGCAGAGGTGGGGCCCTCCCTTCTACCCCAGCACCCTCCATGGTAGCTCGCTCACTCCATGCGCACCCGGAGGCCTTGGACCGGGTTCTAGAACACACACAGCCAGCTCCCACTCAGTGCCTTAGAGAAATCCCTCTGAGTCAGTTGGGATCGTTCCCATTCATTCTTGTTAAATGACAGTATAATCGTGCAAGGTGTGGACCACACCAGAACTCAAAGACACCCTCTTGATAAATGTTCACGCTGTGTCCAGATGTTTTGCCGTGATGAACAGGAAATAGTTGGAATTTTAACCCAGAACCATGAGAACCATCAGAACCATCTGGGAAGCCTTACAACATCCAGAGAGCTATAGGCCCAGGGATCTGGCTCAGGAGGCCTGGCCAGATGGGTGGGGGTGCCCAGACATCTGCATTTTTAATGACTCTCCCGGGAAATCTTGTGTGTGCTCTAAGAACCCCTGGCCCTACAAGAAAACTTGAATGTAGCAGCAACCGTCTGGTTGTTGGAGGTGCCACCACCCCCTGAGCGGTGTGGGATCCCAGGCCCCCCGAACTTGCTGATTCTAGGCAGTGGACAGGAGTGCCAGGCAGGAGGGGAGGGCCAGAGAGGCTTAGGAAGGCGATACAGCCTGGGTCACTGATGCTCTACCCTAGCTGCTCGCCAGAATCACCGCGCAGCTCTGTGCAACATCCCAACATCCAGCAGACCCTCCCAGCGTGGAGACTTCGCCCCTAGCAGAATGCAGGAATGAGGGGCTCTCCACACAGCAGGGGCCTGAGGAGAGCCTGGGGAGGTTATACAACAACAGGCAATGTTCACCGAGCACTTAGTACGTGCCAGGCACTTCTCACGGAAACCACGTGTAAACTCTATGAGGTGGGCACAATTATTACGCCCACTTCACAGAGGAGAAAACAGACCCAGAGAGGTTCAGAGCTGAGAAGTACCAGTTCGGCATCGGATCGTCCGTCTCCAAGGCATGTGGCCTTTCCACTGTAGCGCGCGGCTTTGCCCGCAGGCTGGGCTGTGTGGACACTCTACCCCGTCCTGCCCGTCCCCAAGTCAAACCCTATAGAAGGGGAGAGGGGAAGGGGAAGGGGCAGTGTGTTCCGAGGTGGGCATGGTAGGGCTCTGGGAAAAGCGGCCTCCTCCTCACTCACCCCACTCCACACCCCTAGCCCGTCCTGGTCTTCTTTTCATCCCATTATGCCACAGATGCTCCCCTACCTCCGGGCTTCCTCCTGCGCCCTTGCCTGGAAGCCTGTCCCCTCGCTGGCCCATCCGTGAGATTCTTCAGTCTCAGCCCAAATATCCCTGCTGCTGGGCGGAGTCTGTCACCCGGCTAAAGCAGGCCCCACCCCTAGTCCCTGCTCCTTATGCCCTGCTTCATGGCACTCGTCACAGTTTCTACTGATCTGGTCTCTTTACTTGCTACCTCCCTAGATATAAACTGAGGTTAGAGATTTTCCCCGGCAAACAGCAGATGCTCGTTGAATAGATTTGGAATGGATGAAGAATACACAAGGGTGCTGGAAAAGCTTTCGCTGGGGTATAAATAGCTGGCCCAACCTAGCAGCCACCTCCAGCCTCCCTTAGGACACCCATCCTAACCTTCCCAGGGTCAAGGCTGACCTCTGTGTCAGAGAAACCGTAGTGTGTTGTGGTGGAGGGGGGCTTCCCCCACGAGAACCTAGCCCTCATCGTGGTCCTCCTGGGGGTCTAAGAGAGAACCAGGCCCTGGAAGGGAGCACCCAATGCAGCCCTGGGCCTCAGGTTTGATGAAGAAACCCCCAATGCTCTTAAGAGCCACCAGCCTGAACTCATGAGATCCCAGGTTTCAGCCTCATGTCACCAGGGGTCCGGGACTAAATACCAGTCCTGGAGAGAGGGTCCACCGATGGCATCTTTCTCCTGCTGACCCCCTGATACTCATCAAGGAGCCGAGCTGGATTTCAGAGGGGACATGTGTGCTCCAGCTCGTGGAGACCAGGAAGCCCAGTCGGGAAGCCTGGCTGGCCACGGTAGGCAGAATAATGCTCCCTCCGCCCCGCAAAGATGTCTGCAGCCTAATCCCCAGAACCTGCGAATATGTTATCTCACGTGAACAAGGGGAATCAAGGTTGCAGGTGGAATTGAGGTTATGAACAGCTGACCCAGAGATGGCCAGTTAGCCTGGCTTATCCAGGTGGGCCCAATGTAATCACAAGGGTCCTTATAAGTGGAAGAGGCAGGCAGAGGAGTCAGAGAAATAGCTGGAGATGCCCCATTGCTGGCTCTGGAGATGGAGGAAGAGGAGGTTGCTGGCCAAGAAATGCGGGTGGCCTCTAGAAGCTGGAAAGGCAAGAGGACAGATTCTCCCCTAAAGCCTTCAGAAGAAACACAGCTCTTCTGACACCTTGACATTAGCCTAGTGAGACCCATTTCAGACTTCAGATCTCCAGACTGTAAGATAAACTCGTGTTGTTTTAAGCCACTACAGTCTTGGTCGTTCGGGACAGCAGTGGTGAGCAACAACTACGCCGGCTCTGTCCTTCCCTGTGTGGACAGGCGAGCGCCATGGTAGGTGGCCCAAATGAGAGCTTCTTTTGCTTCCTCTCTGCATGGGGGTCAGGTTCCTGGGGCTGTTCAGTGGTGCCACCCACACCAGCCTAAAGCACAGGAGGCAAACTGGAGAAGCGACAAGTTTCCAGGGCTTTCTGTTGGGACCAGCCGGAAGCCATCGGGCGGGGTGGTTGGAGAGAAAAGCCTGCTTGCCAACTCATCCCAGTTCTCTTGGTTTTCAGCACTTGGCTTCTAGAAAGTCATAAGCCCCACTGCAAACCCTTTTAAAAAATAGGATTTAAAAAAAAAAAAAAAAGGATCTTCTCAGCATCATTATTTGGACCAGCTTCCCTTGGAGGTGGGCTTATTCTGATAAAATCTGGCCACGTAGGGGCATTGGGAGTCTGGTCCGGAGAATCTAAGTAAATCGTGGTGAAGAGGGGGCTTGGGGGAGAAGAGGCTGTCGCACCTGCTTGAACCACCCAGAAGCAACCCAGTCCTGGGACCAGCCCGAGTGTGTTTCTGTTTTACACCTTGGTGGGGGGTTGGAAGGATTCCGAGCAGGGGGCGTGATTTCCTGAGGCTCCGAAGCAAGCCCATCTGGCCTTTTATGGGGTGGCCTTGGCCTCCCATGGGCAGGAAGGAGGATGCTGAGAAGGGTACACAGCGCCCCATGCTCCACACACTTTAGCTTCCCCCATTGCCACACTCATGATACAACCTTCCGGCCACAGCCCAGACCCTGGCCCTGCTGCACTCACTTGGCCCTGGCGGCCTGGCCCTTGACCCCCAGGCTTGCATGTATGTGGGCTGTATTGCCACAATGGTCCACGGCAGCCCTAACTCATCCTGTGGTCAACACAACCTCACCATCTTACCAACATTTGGGCCTGTCTGCCCCCAATTCTTCACATGCTTCAGCTGCAAACCACTCCTCTGTTCTATCATGTTCTAATCCCAAAGCAGGGCCAAAATTAGACCCAAACCATTCGTGTTGCTGTAGATTTATTAGCCAGTGATAGAAACCCAGCTGGACCCATACAGAACACATATGTAACTGGCACACATCTGGAGGAAACCTCCCACCCCTCGCCCCCTCCCCTGGCACTCAGAGCAGTTCATTCCCAGAGCTGGCCCACTGTGAGCTGCCTCGGTGGATCTGCCCCTCTGGGCCCCCTCTCCTGAGGCATGGCAGGACATGGAAATGTTGACCAGAGGGCAACAGAAAGTCTAGGACTGATTCTCCCCTCCTGCAGAGAGAGGTCTGGGGCCAAGGAAGCATCCTATGCATTATGAAGGACATCTTTCACCCTTGCACCCATAGGCTTCCCCAAATCCAAGAATTCCCCACATACTTTCATCTCTAGGAAATTCCTGGAGGTTTTTGGACAAAGCCAGATTTCTGAATGTCAGATGACGGGGCATTTATAAGGCTAAGGGCCAACAGTCATTCCTTCAACACACATCTAGCAAGGACCAACTATGTGAAAGTTCATGCTGGGCACTGGGTAGGGTAGAGAGTTTAGCATCTGGTCAGAAGCTTGGCAGGTAGGCTGATGATCCAACCTTGATCTACATGGACCACACCTCCTTCCCTCTGGGGGAAGCTATGTGTAGACTCTCTCCTGGGTAGAGGGATCTGACTTTAAGGCTGTTCCCCTGCAGAGTGAGAGGCAATCAGACCCAAGCAGAATTGTGGGTCCTTCCTCCATTAGGACACACAGGCCAAGATGGCAGATGAGACACATGGTTGTTTCTAGACCCCAAAGTAAATTCAATCCCAAACAGAGGATTTGGGGGTGGGAAGGGGGGAGTTTGGAGGAATCCCCATGGGTCATGTTGATCCTCATGAGAGGCCACAAGAAGTGAGGTCTTTCTTCTTGGGAGGCCAACAAGAATCAAGTCTGAGAACCAAATGGGTTGCAAGTGAGCTATGAACACTTCTAGGGAAAAGGCTTCTGAGAGAGACAGTCCCCCTCAATGTGCTATCTGGAACCTTGGGGTCTCTTGATGCTTATTGTTCAGGACCGGCCCATGTCCCACCCCAGGGGGAGAGGATGAGGGGGACCGGCTCAGGGCACCATGCGCCACCACTTGAAGGAGAAGGGCTGCCGGCGCACGTTGGTGCCGCAGTGCACCTCCCCGTGCAGCGTGTGGTACGGGGTGAAGTCGTCGATGAAGGTGCAGTGGAGGCCCAGCGGCTCCAGCAGGGACCGCACCTTCTCCTCCAGGCAGCACTGGCCGTCGATGATGGGTCCGAAGGGCTTGGGGATGCCCAGGTGCTTCCCCAGCACCAGCATGTTCACCTGCAAAGAAGCGGGGTCCCAGCCCAGGGGCAGCACTTCATCATCAGGTCCGCCTCAACACCTGGCAGGACCTGCGTCCGTCTTGCGGGCAGCCCTGAAAACAGCTCCTCATACTTGCACGCAGGGGGAGAGGCACCTGGGCTGGTGAGACTCTAGCCAGCTGTGCCATCCCATGGGAGCAACCACAGAGCTCCTAGGGACAGCTCATTTCTCTGGTGACGACCCTCCTTACGGGCGGACTCCGGTGGCTGCCATGTTTGTGCGGCAGAATCCCAACTTCCTAGGTTGCAGTTGATTGGACCAGCGCAGACATCTGACCCAAGCTGGACCAATCAGATTCTCTCTCCCTGCGGTATTGGAAGTTGACAGGGTGGGCCGGTCCAGTGGATCTCTGCCTGTGTCTGTATGTGTGGGGGGCTATGCTGCATTAAACCTCCTGCTCGGGCTAAAGCCGGCTGGGGTGGCCCTGTTTTCTGCAAACACTGGAGGCACTTACATAACTGCAGATCCGCCTTAAAATGCAGGAAGGAAGGGGAAATCGAGTTTTGCAAATGGGGAAATCAAGGAGGACAAAAGGTTAGCCAGACAGGGGATGGGAAATGGGGGGATGAAGCAATGGTGGGTGTGGACAGGCCCCCTGTAAGGCTCTGATGATGGGCGAGTTGAGTTCCTCTGCGGGGTGGAGGTGAAGAGGGGCTGGAGGAGGGGAAGGGTGGGGAGGAGAGTTGGGTCATCTACAGTAGTGCTACTCAAAGTGTAGTCCTCCGAGAGCAGCCTCTGCACCACCTGCTGAATCAGAACCCATGGGATGGGGCCCCAGCAGTCCAGATGTTCCGGAGGCAAAGCCCTCAGGCCTCAACCAAAGGCCACCTCTTCCACGAAGCCTTCGTGGATCTCCAGGCCTACCTCTCAGGCTGGAAGTGCTTTGTCCCACCTCTCAACTAGCACATGACTTCATTATACGAAAGAGACCCTTGAGTGGGACACACCCTAAGGGAGGTGAAGAGAGTTTCCCTCCCACTAGATTAGAGTGGAAACTCCTTGAAAGCAGGGAGCAGCCTTAATCGTTTCTCTGACAGTGTACCCTGAATATATGGGGGATGGGTGAACAGCTATGAGCTGGGACAGAGGGAGCACAAGGGGTGTCTGAGCTCCCAGCTGATACTGCGTGCTGTGCACACATGACCTTATGTGGTCATTGCTTCACTCCACAAATATCAAGTGGGTCCCTGGGGGAAGGGAAGGGCCCTTCCCTGATGGCCCTTGAGTAAGGGGCTTGGCCAATGAGCCTTCTGTAGTGACCAGGACAGCCAGCCAACTAGAAGCCCATCTGCTGGCCATCATGGGACCCCTGATTCTCTCTGCCACCCCCACCAGCCACCACAATCCCAAACATGGCAGTGACCAAACGTCTTGCCCTGCTAGGGAGCAAAAGCTTGGAGCCTAATTTGATGAAACAGATTTAAGTCACGAAAGGTGACCTCACCAAGTCAGGGAAGAAGGCCACCGCCTTTCTCCTCTCAGTCTTGAAGAGCTGGGGGATGTCGATGATGTCCTGCTCAGTCAAGCCCAGCTCCCGCTTCAGCACCTCCCGGTTCCAGTCGATGCAGCTCTAGGGGGGGTGGGTTGAGTTGGAGAGACCTTTCCAGTGGATTTTGGGGGGATCCAGGAGGTCATGTCTAGTTAAGGAGACAGGCTGCCCAACTGCCCATGGGCCAACTCTCCACACAAACCTTACCTGTGTGTCCCTTTGTCAAAACACACCTGTTCTGGGTCCCACCTCTCACAGTCCTATACCACTAACCGGACTAGTTCCAGAGTGTTCCACAACATTCTGTTTTTGTGAGTGTTCCAGAATGTTCCATCTTTTGCCCTCTTCCCTTCTTCACATCCTTCACGCCTTAGGGGGCTCTCCTTCAGTCTCATGGTTTAAAACACCATCTACACACAGACAACTCCCACATTTCTATTTCCCAACTGCTTTGTAGACCCACCCTCTTTCCTGATCTCAGATTTGCACATACAACCACCACTTTGCCTCTTCACCTGGATGGCTAATTGGCACATCAGATATAACATGTCCAAAGACAAACTCTTCATTTCTACACGCGCCCCCCCCCTCTCCCCGCCCCGCCAGGGTCCTTCAGCTCTATGAACGCAGCTAGCTGCTCGAGCCTAAAGCCTTGCTGTGGGGCCCGTGCCTCCTTCCCTCTCACTTCACACCCATCTTCAGCAAGTGCCGTGGGCTCTACCTCTAAAACATATCCCCAGTCTGAATTTCTTCCCACCACCTCCACTGCTCCCACCTGGTGGACAACCATCCCCTGCCCACGCCCCAGCCTGGTTGACAACTTCCTAACCAGTCTCCTTGCTTCTTCTGCTTCCATGCCCTGTGGCAGCCAGCATCACGTTCCTCGCGGACCTCCAGCTATGGGGGTAGACTGAAATCCCAGGGCCACACCTTCCACCAGTTGCTAAGAGCCAACAGTGAGTGCAACAAGGATACTAAGGCAGACCTATGGCCATCTTTGGCTTGCGGAATCTCCCACAGCCTTGCTGAACCTGTCTGAGACTGCACGGTGGTATGGGATGCTTCCCACTGAGGGTCCGCTCTCCCAGTTCCCTCCAGCTCCCTTCCTCTTCCTCACATCTTCCCTGATGGGGCGTGAGCACTGGACTGGGAGTCTGGAGCCCTACCTTCTAGTCCCTTCTCTTCTGGGCCTCAGTTTCCCTGGAGTGAAGTGAGGCATGGGTTCAGGTGCCTCTCACTTTCACTCGTCTGGAGCGTTTACACACACTGACTCCTTTAATCTTCTCCACTTTATAGACGGAGACACAGAGGCAGAGGGAGGCCAAGTGTCTCTCTCAAGGTCACACACCTAGTGGGTGGTAGGGCTGGGATTTGAACCCAGCCTGCCGGGGCCCAGCACCCACAGGCTTAACCCCCTCACCTCAGCTCCAAGGTGTTGCCCCGCCTGATCAAGAACCTTCGCTGGCTCCCCATCACAGCCTGAGTTTACCCTTGACCTCCTAAGGCTCCCCTATGAAAATGCCTTCCCCTCGGACGTGTCTCCTTGTCCTTGGTTCCCAGGCACTGTCCCTAATAGGATCCCTGCATGTTTAACTCTGTCTTGGCATTTACTTCTTAGATGACAGCATGCTGGGTATTCTGTTTGCCCTTCTGGACCCTCCGCATACCTCCTCCTCTGCTCTGTGCCTTGGGAGCCTGGTCCTTGGGAATCGGGGGCTCCTGTGCCCGCTGACTTCTGGCCAGGTGCAGCCAATGGGGCACTGCCAGGAGGTGGGGGGGTAGCAGAGTGCAGTTTGGGTATTTATTCCTATAGCTCCTTCACTGCCAAGTTACTGTGGGCTGGCCAGGAAGGTCACAGCTCCTGTCTCCAAGCCCTCTTTCCATGGTGACCTGTCCAGGTTCCAGTAACATGTCCCCTCCAGTAACATGTCAGGTCTAGGGGTGGTAACGACTCCCCTCTCCCTAACCTTACTGCACAGCCCCCTGTTGATTTCCTCAGATCCTGCCTGCGCCTTTGTAAATATCCCCTCGATTAAACTATTCCAGTTATCCAGCTTGAGGTCCCACGTGTTTCTTGCCGGGGCCTAATGTCACTACCCTCACCCCCTGCTATGAAATATTGATCTATTCTCAACACAGCCGCAGAGCGATCCTTTCAGAGAATAAATCAGATTGGGTCCCCCCTCTGCCCACCTCCCCTAGTGGCCTCAAATGTCAAAGTCCTTGCAGTGCCCTCCATCACTTGATGGCCCAGCCTCCCCTCACCTCCCCAGAACCCCCTGGCTCATCCTCAAATATTCCATGCCCCTTCATTCTACCTCAGGGCCATCGTCTGTGCTCTTCCCTCTGCCTGGATGTGTGTCCTCCTCACATGCACACGGCTTACCCCTCATTTCTCCTGGATCGGAGGAGGGGTTGGAGCCTCTCTGTCTGGGCCAGTTCCAGCCTGGGCTTTCACGGACCCCGAGCCTCAGACTCCGTCCCCATCGCCGTCCCCAGCCATGCCCACCTTCCCCTCACAGCCCATGGCCTGTACCTGCACGAACTTATTGTAACTGATGAGGTTTACGTTGGAGAGGACCTGGTTGATGGAGACAGTGTTGACTGGCTTATCCCCTGTGAGGGAGAGAGAGACGTTAGAGGAGGGGCAGGAACGACACCAGAGGTGAGGGTCACCACCGGCTCTGGGAGGCAGCCAGGCAGAGGTCAAGTTCACAGCTACTGGTCTTGTGAGTCAGTAGCTCTCTGGCCTTTCTAGACATGGCGTAGGCACCACCCAGCAGAGCTCGGCCTGGCCATGGCGCAAGCCTGGGGGTGGGAGGGGAGGGACGGACGGGTGGCTGAGCACCACACACCTTAGACCTCTATTTGAGTGCATTGGAAGTGGGGTGATGCTTTTCACTGGAAGCATCTGCCCCTTCTAGGACACTGGCTGCTGATCCCTCTTCTTTCCAGCTAGTGGTAGTAATGGGGCTGGGTCACCCACCCGTCCATCAGCCCTGATGGACACCACTGGACCCTGTCCCTGCCCTCCACGAGGGGACTGCATGGCCAAGGGGCTCCCTGGAGGCCTGTTTCCGATGGGCTGGACCGGGAAAGGGAGGTTAGGCTCATAGTCCTCACAGCTGCCGGCGAGCTCTTGCCAGGGGCAGGCCCTGAGTTCGGTTCTCCCCATTCAACACCTCATTTAACCTCCCTGTAACGCCACAAGGTGTGCATTCTCACCCTCTTTTACGGACGGGCACATTCAGGCTCAGGGAGGCAAAAAGATTCACCTAGGACCTTACAGCTGGGAAACAGGGGGCTTGTGATTCAAACCCAAGCCCAGTGTTCACAAAGGGCTGCAAACCTTGACCAAGGGGTAAGACAGGGCTCCCTGGACTCACGTGCCCATCTGCAGGCTCGGCATCCCCTCCGCCCCAGCTGGGGTCAGCCAGCCGGGGTCTAGTTCCAGCTCCATCGTGTTCTTGCTGAGCCCTCTGGGCCAGTGACTCGCCCGACTTCCCCGTGTTCTTGGGTATGTAGGGGAGAGGAGAGTAAGTGGGGCCTGGCACACCGTGTCACTAGTGAGATATGCTGGCCTCCCCACGCACGTGGCTGCTTATGGCCTGACAACTGTGATTCCCACATTCTCCTTCCCAGCTGAGCGGCGAGAAAACCCACTCAGCCTGTTCCTGGGTCTTGTTCACTGTCAGTGTGGTCCTTCCAGGAAAGGTGACAATGGCTTTCCTTCCACCTGGTACATAACATCTGGATTTGAGGCTTTTTCAGGTTTGCTCTGGACCCAGAGGCGTTTAGCCACAGTCCTTACGGGAGCAAGGGGGTTGGGAAAACTGTATTTCTTACACCTTACAGCTGGGGCTCCAGGGTGGTGCCGGGAAGGGGGTGAGGATCGTAAATGGGGAGAAAGGGACTGCAAAGTTCTACTTCAGAACTTCTGAGTTCTGCAGAAGCTTTCCCCTTGGAGGTTTGGTCCAGGACATTATTTACCTCCCATGAGGCCAAGAAAAGCTGCAATCCCAGCAGCCAAAGGGTTTTGGCCTGAGAGCACCAGGGTCCCTGTCAGAGAGGACCAGACCTCTCGGATTCACAGTCTTGGTGGGGACGGGAAGGGAGCCATTCCAGCAAGCTTGCCCCGCCCCGCACCCCCCCCCCAGCTCCAGGCACAATGGCTCTCAGAATACCTTCCAAGCAAAATGAGAATGTGGGACCCTTTGTTCAAAGAGCGGGAAAGAAAAAGTATCACTAAAGGTACTAAAATATAAGGTTTGTTCTTTCCTCCATGGTCTCTCTCCTGCCCTGTCCTGTTGGTTTTTTACTTGCTATTTGATGTCACGCTCCCTCAGTCACGGGACACCGGCGTGGTGAGCACAGACCCCCGCAGCGCTGGGAGCCCCCAGCTGAAACTTGACGCGTGCGCACAGCCCACCGGCTGCCAGGCGTCCCAGCCCACGAGCCGCGGGACCCACGTCGAGCCAGACGTCTCCCCTTCCCCCAGGCCCGCCATCCCGAGCCCATGGCAAACAGGCCGACTCCTCCGGCTACTGCGGCCTCCACACAGCGGGGTGCTAGCTGCTTGGATCGGGGGTGGGCAAGAGGCTCACCCCTTGTGAGCCGCCCACCGCCAGTCCAGGACAAGGACAGTTAATGCCAGGTGCCCCCCACCCCGAGATGCTGGCCTCCCCACGTCCAGGCTCCTGCTGCCGCAATCACTGCTGGGGGGCGGGCAGAGAAAGGAGGCCCCGCCAGCCCCCACTGCCCATGGCTGAGGCCCCAGGGAATGAGGGGTGTACAGGGGATCTCATCCCCGGCAGGCAGCAAGAGGATTCACTCACGAAGCACAAATGGTTAAGAATTTCAAGACGGTGATAGCAGAGCATTAAACTTCCTGAGGTGAGGGCCCTGTCTGAGGATACTGGTCACGGGCCCATGCAGCTCGCCACGTCTCTGCCCCAGCCACTGGTGGGCAGTGGGGGCTGGTGGGGCAAGGCGTGCAGCGGCAGTGAGGCTCTTGAGTTTGGGGGGACCACCCTGCTGTATAGACTTCATGATCCCTCTCCCAAGCCATGATGCATCCTGCTTTAGGGGAGGGGGCAGGGAAGCTGGGGTGAGGGACACGGCGGGGGTACCCACCAACAACCCCTTTGAACAGGAGGGCACCGCCGTGGCCCCACTTCTGCTTTGCCTGGAAGAGCTGGAAGCAGGCGCTAGGGCTGGCCAGGAGCATCCGGAAGCCCTGTGTGGAGAGGGCAGACCCGCCTGAGCTCCCTGGCCCCAGCACGGCCCCCCTGGAGCTCATCCTCTGACCCAGACCCCGGGGACAGGCATGTCACCGCTGTCCTTACCTTCCCATCGGGGGCAGGGACGAAGCTCAGAAACTCATCCACGTGGCCCACGGCCAGCCAGTCCACAAAGAGCTCCACGGGGGGCTGCACCCTCTGCGCATAGAGGAAGTCCCGCACCACCTGGGTGACCCGGCGGCCGCTGGACCTGGGGTTAAAAGAATTTCTTAGCTTAAAAAAGTCTATGCAGAAATGGAATAACAAGAGTTCAAGATTTCTGCAGTATCTGATTTTTTTAAACAACAACAACAAAAAAAACATGCACTGTGTCTTTTAAATTCTGCTCAGGCTGAGCTCTTGAGCAGACGCAGGACAGCTCAATCCCACCTGGTCAGTGACCCCCAGGTCTTGCCATCCAGGCAAATGCTCAGAGCTGCCCTCGGACCCATCCTCACATTCTCCAAGAGACTGATTCACCACCCTATTCCATCCCTGGGGCCAGGCGGCTCTTCTTGGAGTTTAACTTGTGTCTCTCTTCCTGTGGCCTCACCTTCTGTACATCAGTGGGGAGAGAGGTGGACAAGATCACCCCCAAGGGGCCGCACAGCCCCAGCATTTTATGCTCATGAACTCAAGCCCCATTCTTCTTTGACCCTCTGCATAGTATCTAATGGCGTGACCCAAACTTCCTCTTTCTTTTTTTTCTTTCTTTAAGTAGGATCCATACCCAGCATGGAGCCCAACGTAGGGCTTGAACTTGGGACCCTGAGATCAAGACCTGAGCTGAGATCAAGAGTCAGACGCTTAACTGACTGAGCCACCCAGGCACCTTGAACTTCCTCTTTCTGTGGGATCGCGTGTTGAGGGCAGTTAGTTCCCTCCAAAGCCCCTTGATTCACCTGTTTTTTGACTGCAAGTCTGTCCTAACTGCTTTGTTGAATTTGGTTGGCTCAAAGTCTTGGTCTATTCCACAGCATAAAACCATAACTATATAATTCCTTTTCTTTTGCATCAGTATCTCGTGTCACATGTTGAACAAATAATCTGTTATTCTGTGTGTGTGTGTGTGTGCGTGCGTGTGTGTGCGTGTGTGTGTGTTATGACATCTCATTTTTCATGTCCTATACCTTCCTTCTCCTGTTGTCAGGAAAACATTTCGTAGTAGTCATTTACATCATAGTAAGAACAAGCTCTTGAAATGTAATTGCTCTAGGACTGTTGAGACTTGAAGCTTTTTCTTCTAGAACTATTAATTAATAGTATGTTATTAGCAATATCATTTCTTTTTGGAATCAGAAGACCTAAGTTTAGTCACGATTTTGCATTCTGTGTGACCTGTACCAGGTCACTCACCCTCTCTGGGCTCACTTGTGAAATGGAAAGGCGGGACTGAATGATTGATCTCTTAGGTCTCTGCTGACTTTGGCCTTCTCAAACTCATCAAGGTAAGCGTGGACAGTGTCTGGTGATCAGCGCACTGCCTCCCCTCACCCCGTCTAGAACTAGGAATTTATCACTCCTCACTGGTTCTCTCCCAGGAGTGGAATTGTCCCTCACCACCACCACCCCAGCCACCATCACCACCTTCCACCCCAGGAACACCTCTCCCTGCTCCTTTCTCACCCAGGCAGGTTGCCCCCGATGAGGATCCTCCCCAAGGGGTACTCTTTCCCATTGGCCACCACTGGGGGGCTGACCTCCAGGTTCCCAAAGGAGTCCAGGCCACTCACAGAGCTGTCTTGTGGTTCCCGAGTCACATAGCCGAAATCTGGACCCTGGCAAGGGAAACTGAGTCAGGCTAGGGGTGGGGGTCACCAGAAAGAACTTGAACCAACTTGCTGGGCTCTGAGCTCCTTAAGGATGGGGCAGGAGTGGCTGCCCATTCTTCAGATGGAAATACTGAGTCAAAGACAGGGATATGACCTATTCAATATTTCACGCATGCATAGAGGCCAAAGTAGGGAAATACACAGGCACTCTGGCCCTGCTGCCACATTAGAGCTCCATGGTCACAGGGAGACAGTGGAAAGGGCCCTGGTTGCCTATACTCCCCATTAGACATGGAGCCCGAGGCTACGGCCCCCGCCCCTTACCCTCCGAACAGACTTCCTGCCAAGTGCAGCCCAAGGGCAAGTACCTGGCTGTTCCAGAGTAGCCTGTTCCTGGGGACCAAGGGACTGAGGATGGAGCCTCAGTCTTTCCACCCTGAAAAAGGGGAGAGCTCCCCAGGGCCATCTCTTAAAAGGAACTCAATCAACATTGAGGCCCAGGTGAGAGCTCCTACCACCTCTGGCGGGGGGCGGGGGGCGGTGGCTGGAAGGGCCTCACGGTCTCTACAGTACCAAGGGAGTCTCCCCTCTCTCTTCTAGGAGGTCCCCAACCACCATCTTCACAGTATTCCTTATTACCAATATTAACCTCAGCTAACAGTGCTGTGGGCTCCCTCTGCCCAGTACAGAGAAGCCTCACAAACACTTGTGAGGCCAGGGCTATGATATCATTTTTGCTGATGAAGAAACTGAGGCTCAGAGAGGGCAAGTGACTCAGGCCAGGTCACACAGCATCTGAATATATACAGCCGGGTGGTTCTGATTCCAAAGCCTGTGTTCTTAACAGCGGCACTGCCCCGCCCCCAAAATCGCCCTTACCTAGGGCTGCCAAATTTAGTAAATAAAAATACAGGATGCATAGTTAACTTTGAATTTCAGATAAACCACAAATATCTTTTTAGTATAACTGTGTCCCGTGCAAGGCTTGGAACATACTTATACCAAACAGTTCCTCATTGCCGATCTGAAATTCAAATGTAACTAGGCATCTCCCGTGTTCTATCTGGTCACTCCTGTCCCTAGAACATGGTCCCCGTGCTGCGCCCTAGACTCTACACCCTGGTGGGGCTTCAGGAAACGTTAACGTTCCTCGGCCCTCAGAGCCAGGCTGCAGCCTGTGGCCCGGACCACTCACCAGGATTCTTTTGTAAGGGAAATCCTGCAGTTCCCCATTCCTGGGGGAGTCAAAGACCACCGGGAAGGTCTTGTGTGGGGCCTGAACATAGCCCAGCTCCATCTCGTCCTGCGAATGAGAGAGACAGCCTGTGGAAAATCAACACTCGTTTGTCACTGAGCGCTTTGGGGAAGACTGTTCTTGGGGGTTCTTTGTCTCGGGCCTGCTTTGCCCTTTGGGGTGAAGAAGGCAGGGGTTCATGATGCTTGCTGGCTGCAGGAGGGGCTGGAGGCTCAGAGAGGGGGCGCTCTTGCCTAAGGTCACACAGCAAGACAGGTGGGGAATGAACGAGAACATGGACGTGACCCTGGGTGGGTCCCCATGCCAGATCAGGGCAAAGTGGCCACAGAGAGGGGCACGGGGTGGCCTAAGTTGGACAAACAAGTCACTGGACATTAGCCAGCACCTCTGGCCTCCACATGTGGTCATGGACAGGGCTGAGGTGACCAAAGGAGGTATAGGTCTGCCTCCTCAGATCTCTCAACATTTAGCCCAGCTCAATCCTGATCCCTCTGGTCCTGGAGGCAAAGAGGGCCCAGCACCGATGAACTCTATACCCAATGAGAAGCTCACTGTTATGTGCCTGGCCCTGCTCTCAGCCCTTTATAAATAGTAACTCCATGAACCCTCATCACACACACACTCATGCAGAGGCACTATGATTACCCACATTACAGATGAGGAAAGTGAGAAACAGAGAGGTCTAATTGTTCGTCCAAGGACACAGAGCTAGTCAGTGGCACCGCCAGGGATCCTCACCCAGCCCATCTGGCTCCAGGGTCCTGCCCCGAACATCTGCTTCATCGGATGAACCGCCAGCCATGAAAGCTTCTCAGCTTGGCATGCACGGTCTCCCACTTCAGCTCCTTCACGGAACCTTGGCCATGGCCAACAAGAGCCCAAGGCGAGCTTTCTCATGCCTCCCCTCGCAGGGCCTTTGCACATGCTGGTCCTCTGTGAGGCCCACCATCCACTGAGCCCCAGCGTGGCCCTTATCATCTCTGTGGCCCTGGGCATGGGCCCCCTGCGAGCACATCGCCTACTTGGTCCTGCCCGATGCCCTTCCTCCTGGAGGTCTTTATTCATCCCCCAGACAGAGGCGATGCCACCCTCCTCCAAACCCTGCTGGCGCGTTGCTTGTAGCCCTACTACGTCTTCAATTGCAGGAGCGGGGTGAGGGGGGCTGTTGCAATAATTCACCACACCAGTGTTTCTCAGCCTTGGCACACATGACACTTGGGGCCAGCTAATTCTTTGCTGTGGGGCCACCCTGTGCATTCATTACAGGACGCTTAGCAGCAGCCCCACTAGAAGCCAGTAGCACCACCAGCCTCGGGGTGACAGCCAAACCTTTCTCCAGATACTGCCAAATGTCCCTTGGAGGACAAAGTTGCCTTCCGTGGGGAACCACAGGGCCAGGCTGCTGAGGGCAGAGTGTGTCCCACACCTCGGCCATTCCCTTCGGGGCCAGCCCCGTGCCTAGCCCAGATCCTGTGGGTGAATGTGGGTTAAATCCAGTGTCAGTGTGTGCCTGTGTCTCTAGAAAGTTCTGGAGAGAGGGAGGGAGCTCTAGGTCTAGATTGAGAAAAAAGAGTGTGCTGGGAAGGACAGTCACAGCCCCCAGGTCCTTCTAGATATTCACAGCAACCTCCCCTCCCTGCCCTGGGTCAGGATGGACCAGCCTCTCCCTCCAAGATGCCGTCCTGGCTGGATGCTGCCCAGCGGCCATGGTACCTGGATCCAGCGGTCATTGCGGTTCTCATTCTGCGGGCAGATGGTCAGCTTGCAGCCGGCCTTCGTGGCCAGCTCCGCCACGGCGTCCACAAAACATGTGTTGTTCCTCACACTGTGGACAAGCCCAGGGAGCGTGGCTCAGAACAGAGCCAGGTGTGGAGACCAGAGGGGCCACCAGGGTCTGAAGGACACCCATGCCCCCCCTCCCACACTCACCGGCACACGTACACCTCCAGGGGCGGCAGGGTGCTGGGCGTCATAATCCAGGGCGCCACACGAAACACCACGGTGTCGGTGAAGATTGGGGACTCAGAGAAATCCTACAGGGGAAGACGGGCAGAAGGACAAGAGCACCGGCCTTGGAGTCCAGAGGCCCGGCTGATCCCGCTGACATCTCGTTTCTAGAAGGGCAGCAGCGGGGTGGTCGAAAGGTCTGGGGTCCTCCACGCTGGTGGTGCCCCTCTCTCCCAGGGAGGGAGCCCTCTCTTACCCTCTTTGCCCCGGCCACCCCTCACCTCGTTGGAGTCGTCCAGCAGGGTGACATGGAAGGAGACGAGCCCCGTGAAGCTGGCATCAGGGAACGAGAGACCCTCCACAAAGAAGCGTTCCTCGTCCCCATGGAAGCGGGGCACCTCATAGGACACCTTGTCCTGGCCCAGCACGTGCCTGTAGGACTTGCATGAGTCTTCAGGACCTGGGAGGGGATGGGACGGGACGGCTGTGACCCCCAAGTGGGCCCGCAGAGCATGAGGGTGCAGGAGGAGCTGGGCCAACCTCACCGAAACCCCTCAAGACAGACAGGCAGCCCCAGCCTCTGCCCTCCCACCAGCGAAGGAGAGAAGATGCTTGATGCCCAGTGTGGGCAAGGCCAGGGGAAAGGCCCTTCCTTTCTAAGATGGCTGTTCAGACCTGCTGGGGACAACTCGGCAGCATCTCACAAAGTAAGGTCTACTCCTAATGAGCAATCCCGCTTCTAGATGTCTTTGCTGCGAATACACGTACGAGGGTGTTCACTGGCTGTTCATTCACTGAACAAGTATTTACTGAGCACCTGCTCTGCACCTGGGAGGCCTGGTTCTAGGCCCAGGATGCAGCCGTGAGCAATGCCCCTGCCCTCAAGGAAGCTATACTGTGGTCAGACCAGAGCACTGCAAACAGCTGCATGCTCAGGGGAGTGGATAAGTTACAGCACACCCGTGCTTTGGAATACCACACCGCGGTGGAAGAGAATGAGGCAGAGCTGCATAAATACAGGAAGGAATGTCAGATATCATTCAACGGAAGAAAGCGTTTGGAAAGCAGGGTATGTACACACCACACACACGTGCACACACATGTGCACACACACACACATGCATGCACATTTAATGCATCCAGAGAAAAGTCGGGAAGAACCCGTAGCAAATCGTTAACAGTGAACTCATTTTAAAGAGTCAGGTTTAGGGGTAGGGAGGGGGAACTCTCATTTTTTACCTTATATACTTCTATGTTGTTTGATCTTTTTTTTTTTTAATGTTTTTAAAAGATTTATTTTAGAGAGAGGGCACGTGTGAGTGGGGGTGGGGCAGAGAGCAGAGGGAGAGAGAGAATCCCAAGCAAACTCCCTGCTGAGCGTGGAGCCCAACGTGGGGCTCGATCTCAGGACCCTGAGATCACGACCTGAGCTGAAACCAAGAGTCAGATGCCCAATCCACTGCGCCACCCAGACGCCCCTTTGTTTGAGCTTTTTTAAAATGAGCATTTTATCACTTATGTGCATTTGTATCTTTAAAAGGGATTTTATGTTAGGGGCGCCTGGGTGGCTCAGTCTGTTAAGCATCTGCTCAGGTCACGATTCCGGGGTCCTGGGATCGAGCCCCATATTGGGCTCCCTGCTGGGTGGGAAGCCTGCTTCTCCCTCGCCCACTCCCCCTGCTTGTGTTCCCTCTCTCGCTGTGTCTCCCTCTGTCAAATAAATAAATAACATCTTGAAAAAAAAAAAAAGGGATTTTATGTCCTTGCTCATACTATGGTTCTGTGGAGCAATAGTCCGTGGTTTTGGGGGGTGATGCACGCTGAATTCTGCAGGGGCACTAAGCCCCATGCCTGGGAGTGGTTTTACAATACTTGAACAAACAACAGATGAAGCAAGAGAAGCAAAACAGCGGTCATTGTTGAATCTGAGTGCCTGGCATACAGGGGTTTGTCACTATTCTCTCTACTTTTGTGTGTGTTTGAAAGTTTTGATAATAAGAATTTCTGAACATTCTTAAAATATATTTTTAAATATATTGTTTAAAGATTTTATTTATTTGAGAGAGAGAGAGCACAAGCAGGGGGAGGGGTAGAGGGAGAGGAAGAAGCAGACTCCCCGCTGAGCAGGGAGCCTGACACGGAGATCAATTCCAGGACCCTGAGAAAACGACCTGAGCTGAAGGCAGCCGCTTAACTGACGGAGCCACCCAGGCGCCCCTAAATATATTTTAATTCATCCAATCTAACAGCCTTGGGTCATGGCTGTGCGGGGATGCCAGCCCGCCTGTTTCAGAGTTCCCCCAGCTGACCCTGCTTCCTCTGACCCCCCAGGCAGGCTAGAAGCCAGAGCAGAGCCTGCCCTCCGGCCCAAGATGGGGAAACTGAGGCCCCCCAGCAGTGGGAGCAGGGGGAGGGGATGAGCATGAACTCACCACAGGCGTGGAAGACCCGTGCCCACTTGGCGTCATAGCTGGAAGTGTGGAGGATAAGTTTGTGGTCATCAAAGAGGGCGGCGGGGCCTTGGGTCTTCAGGACCATGACGGACATGTCTTCCAGGTCTGTGGAGCCAGGCAGGGGTGGCAGCTCAGGGGGCCCGCGACACTCCGCGTCTTCTCCTCCTGCCCACCACACCACCCCCCCTCCAAGGGCAGAGGGCGCCAAGACCCGGGTCTCTGAGCCCCAGCTCTGCCCACCCTGTGAAAACACTGGAAACCGTCAAGAGCAAAGCATAAGGACGTCCGTAAGCGTGTGCCACGTGAATACGTCATACCCTCTCCCGCCTCCACTCCCTCACCTGCCCAGAGCAATGGGAAGGAAATACAGAGCAGCCAGCCCCGTGCCCGGGGACAGGTGAGAAGTGTGGGGCCGCCCGGGCGGCGTGCTGGGGAGAGTCTGCTCTCAGGGCAAGCGTCACTCTCTGTTGGCATCGGGCAGGCCCCTCCCTCCCTGAGCCTCAGCGCGCCCCAGTCTGAAACGAGGGACAGATGTGCCCCCTTTCGGAGCAGCTGTGCCCACCCACGCATAAAGCCCCCAGCCCGCACCCCGGGATATTACTGCGGCCTTCCTCACGGGGCTGTTGCATGCAGTGTGGGACTGACTTAGAACATGGGGCGTCCTGAAATGAGTCACGGGTGCCTGGTGGGAGGCTGGATCTGGGGTGCAGATAGGAAGCTTTGGATCTTCCACAGACAGGCTGGGAGGGGTTAGCTGCCAGCCTGAGGCAGGTTTTGAGCGACATCAAAGTGTGTCCAGGAGCTGGAACTTTGGCCCCCGATGCTCCCTTCAATGCTACCTGCAGGGTGGCTGAGTGGTGACCCTGGGCACCCCCTCACCTTGCAGGCAGTGCACATGCCGGTCACGGTTGTCCTGGTCATTGCAGTTCAGATCATCCCTATCGCAGTTCACCAGCAGGATGGCTCCATACCCGCCAGGCCCCCAGACCCAATCCCGCTGCCAATGGCAAAGCATAGCTGCTGATGGGGCTCGGACCCGTCCTGTGCCCCCGCCCAGCAACCTCCCGGCCAGCCTCCTGACCCCGTCTCTTCCTCTTCGCCCTCCCTGTGAGGACAAGCCCACTCTCACGGAAGCACTTCCTGCACCAGATACTGCAGTGGCTCCCGACTGCCCACACCAGCAAGTCGAAACTACACCGAGGTCTCTCATGGCCAACTGCAATGAGTCTCCAGCCAATGTCCTATTTCTCAATGGGCAACTTCCTGATTATAGATCCATTCCCAGCTCCAGGCCTTGGCTCCCACTCTTCCCTCCACCTGGAATGCCTTCCCTCTTGCATTGCTTTAGAACCTAGCTCAAGTGGACTTCAAAGGAAGTCTTCCTTGCTCATGCAGCCCATCTTGACCTTCTGCTCCGAACTCCCAATGCGTTCAGTGCCACCACAGTTCAGCCCAAAGTTCTTTAAAAGTCTCATACTTGGTAGAGTTCCCCTCTCACCTAGATCAGAAGGTTGGCACACCAGGGCCAGGGGCCACTTCTGGCCCACTGCCTGTTTTTGTAAATAAAGTTTTATTGGAATAGTCACATCCATTGTATTGACCATAGCTCTTTCACACTACAATGGCAGAATTGAATAGTTGCAACAGAAACACTTTGCAATGCCTAAAATATTTACTATCTCACTTTTACAGAAAAAGTTTCCTGACCCCTGACCGAGACTGAAATTCCAGAAGGACTTTTTCCCACAAAGCAAGGCCTAGCCCAGGCCTGGGGATGTATATATTTGATAATTCTTGGTAATACTTTTTCTCCTGGTGAAAGAAGATCCCCAGCCATGCCGGGCTCCCATTTGGCTCTCCTGACCTCAGCAGCAGCTAGGAGGCAGGGGCATACCTGTAATGTCTTCGCCCCTCTTAACCCAGCCTAGGTCAACTCCAAACTCCATGCCCCTTTCTGGGCCCAGGTGGAATCGCCCTACCTTGTCCACAAAGCTGCTATTCTGCCTGCCCTCACAGTTCAGGTCACAATCCAGAGCAATGTCTGCAAGGGGAGGACAGAGAGTAAGTCATTATGGGGTTCCCAGGAGTCCAGCACAAGTCCAACAATGTACATTTTGCCTCTAACAATGCCTCCTACAGACAGAGCATCTTCAACTTTCTTGCTAAGTGCTCTGCAGGTGTTTGTACCCATGCAAACTCCCACCCACCGTCAAGGAGCTCCCCAGTTCCACATCCTTGGCAGTGCTGAGTTAAGCATCTTTCCATTTAGGTTCTGATCACTGGGGCTTTCTCTTCTGTGAATTGCTTGTTCATATTTTTTGCCTATTTCCGTTAGTTTGTCTTTTTTTCCTATTGATTGGAGTTCTCCATAACCTTTATGTACCGAGTTAGCCATATACATTGCAAATTTCTTCTCCCAGTTCATATTTTGACTTTTTCTTCCCTTTTTGTTTAAAGTAAGCTCTGTGCCCAGTGTGGGGCTTGAACTCATGACCCTGAGATCAAGATTCATTTGCTCTGTGGACTGAGCCAGCCAGGCGGCCCCATAGTTTGACTTTTTACTTGTCCTCTGTTGTATAAAAGTTCTAAAATTTAATACAGTCGAATTTATCATTGCCCTATCTTCAAGTTCACTGATCCTCTCTCTAGCTGTGTCAAGTCCACCAAGACAACCCACTAAGAACATTTTTTTTTACCTGTTACCATGATTTTTAGTTCTAGCATTTCCATTTGACACCTTATAGTTTTCAGCTCTCTGTTGAAATTCCCCATCTGTTAATTCATGTTATCTACCTTTTCCTTTAATGTACCAATCAATCTGAGTTATCGTGCATGGAATTTATATACAATTTGTGGACAATTGGCACAAAAAACTTAAGGTGGAAAAAGCAAGGTCCAGTTCCAGGCCTAGAGTATGTCTCCCTTTGCTTACAAAAGGGGGGTATACAGGTATTCCTGTGTCCACCTGCACAAGCATAGTAGATCTCTAGAAGAATGCTGGGCTTGGGGAACTGGAAGTCTTCGGTTGGGAGAAAGGGAGGTTTACTTTTCAATATATACTCCTTTATACCACTTGAATTTTTTAAATGTACGCTTATTTTAATTTTTAAAATAAAATGAATTGATGTTTATAAAAAGACTCTTGTTCCTTGTCATTCCCAACCACCCCCCACCCTTGGCCCAAGCCCTAGCATGACCCCCAACTTACCAACACAGGTGAGGTAGAGCACCGCATAGGCCAGGGGCAGGGGCTCATGGCTGGAGTGGTAGGAAATCTGCACCTGTAGAGAAATGGGGCCAGAGTCAAGCCAGCTGAAGCCAGTAGCCCCCACCCCAAAGGACAGGTCTTGGGGGATCTGGCAGGAAAGAGAAAGGGTCTCAGGAATCTCTGTTCACTGCAATTGAGTTTACCAACCCAGCTCCTCCATTAGTCTCTGTGCCATTTATTTTTCCATGCCCTGCTTGGCCCATCTGTAAAATGGGAACAATTTGTGAGGGATTCCCTAGAGACTTGGGTCCCAGGGCTGCCAATGATTACCGCGTGATTTGGACAAACCCCTGCTCCCCTTTGGATCTCTGCTTTGCCACTTGTTAAAAAAGGAGGTCTCTGACGGGGCAGGGTTTAGGGACCTTCTCTTATCTCTGGGATTCAGCCAGGCCTGGACTTGAGGCCAGCACCTCTGGGTTCTGTGACCTTGGCCAAGGTCCCTCACCTTTCTGACCTATCTGGTTTCCTCATCTGCAGAACAGAAAACATACAAAACCCTATGGCCCACAGAGGATTTTAGTGCTGCTTAGAAACAATGCATGTACAAGACTGACCCCATGGGCAGGGCTCCAGACACGCTGGCTATTGCTAACAGAGGGCAGGCGGCACTGTGTGAGCTGGTGCTGCTCTGGGGTCCTGTTCCGGATCTACCACTTGCGACTATCCTGGGAAGAGTCACTTGTCCTCTCCGGGCCTCAATATCCCCTGCTATAGAGGGATAATAATAGTCCCTACCCCAAAGGGTTGATTGTAGGCTGTGACCATCAAAGAAGGAAGGCGGGTGACATGCTCAGTGCTGTCCTTGGCTACAGCAAGCCCCAGTAGCTGTTAAAGGCTGGGCTGACTGTGACTGATGAGAATACAGTTCAAGGCCCATGTATCAAAGCCCCTTTGGCCCACGGCCCTCCGCTTACATGTTCCCTCTTGATGGGGGTCCCTCAGCTCTGCCAGAAGGCTCAGGATCTTATAGAGGCCATTCACCCCTCAGTGCTGGGAGCCCCTATATCCTGCAATCACTGACACCCAACTGTCAAGCCTGAGCAATGATGCTGGCCTCAGGCATACAGTTACCCGGATCTAGGCCAAAGGTGGGGGAAGGGCAGACACTCCGACCCTCCTCAATCCCTCTGGTCTTTGGCATCCACACAGCCCTGGCTTGGCAGGGCACCCAGGAGGGGTCCCTTACTGGCTGGCTGGTCCTCTTGCCCTGTCCCGGGGACTCTGTCCCGAACCTCACCGACTCTGCTACTCACTAGATGGGGTGACTTCGGGTAAGCCACCCCCCTTCTCGTTCTCAGTTTCCTTCTCTGTAAAATGAGTTCATTTACCTGCCCACCTGCGTCACAGAGCTCAGTGGAGGGGCTCATCTCAGACACACGGATGGGAAAAGACGAGGGGGTGATGAAGGGAAACTGCCGCCCAGGTGTCAGCCAGATCCGTGTAGAATTCTAGCTCTCAACTCATTGGCTCTGTGGCCCGGACACAGTTACTCTGAACCTTGGTGGCCCCACCTATGGAATGGGGGTCAGATCCCGCCTCTCTGAGCTGTTGTGAGGGCTGTGTGAGGTCATGGCTGCCCAGGGCGTGGCGTATGATCGGTGGTCCTTAAAAGGTCAGTTTCGTACAACACTGCTCCTGGCATGAAGCGGGAACCTGCCCACACGACAAGGCCTGCTCCCCCTCACCCCTTTAAGGGGGCATCACCTGGGCCAAGCTCCAGGGCCACCCCATTTCGCCCTCTTCTAATGCCCCCTGCCCTGAGGTCGGAACCCTGCCTACAGCTGGGGCTTGTTAAACTCACCCTTGGTGGCTGAATGAGCAGAGAGGTGAGGAGGGGGAGTTACGTGCCTCTGAGAAGGGAAGGGGGTCAGGGAGAGAGTGGATTAGGAGGTGAGGCACCCAGTACAAGGGGGTCTCCCAGGCACTGGCATCCCCCCATCTCTGCTTTCTGTCCATTCGGAGTGGCAGAGATCACCTAATCAACCCTCAGCCTGCAGAAAAGCGGGGACACCTCCCTTCACTGGGGTCTTGGGAAACAAGAAAAGCAGCAAATGTTGGCTCATGTTCCACCCCACACCAACACCAAGAGGAAAGGTGCTGTGATCACCCCCATTTTACAGATGGGGAAACCGAGGCCCAGAGGGCTGATGTGACTTGCCAGCAGACACACAGTTTATGTCTGTAAGCTGCAGGGCTGGCCGGTTCTGGGAGCGGGTACTTACCCATCATGCTACCCTGCCATCTGGGTAAATAGAGGGTGCCGGACCTTGTGGAGTTAGATCACTGCCCCACAAGCCCCCCCACCCCCAGACCAGGGGACCTGCTCACATGACTGTCATTGAGGTCGTTGCTGGGAGAGTTCATGACCACGATGATCTCCAACCCCGTATCAAAGTGCCACCGCCTGGTGTCCGCGCGCTCCCGGCCCCTCTCCACACTAGGAGAGATGTAGATGTCCACGCCAGGGGTCCCATAGACCTCGAACATCTCTGTGCCCTCAGGTACCGATCTGGGAAGGACAAGAAGCCATGGGAAGTGCTAGAGGGAGGCAATACTTGTTCAGATGCTTGAGCTTTGGCTCAAACTCTTGCTTCCTCCAGGAAGCCTTCCCTGACCACCCCAAGCCTCTCAGATCCCCACAGCAAGCTCCTGGGAGTGAAGCCTGGACCCTACACAAATGCATACACAGTCTCACATTCCAAGGTTCTGTGTTTATTAACACTTCCCTTGTGAGTTATGTTAACTCCCCACAAAACTGCAAGCTCTTTGCAAGTTAGGACCCAGTTGAGTGCTTTATAACCCCCCGGTGCCGAGCTGGGCACAAGGAGCTCAGTGGACATCAGCCTGCAAATGGACCCCACTGCAGTTCTGAGCATGGCTTTAAGAAGAGCAGTCTCCCCTCAAAGTCCCAGTGCATCCTTCTTTAGCGGGCGAGATGTTCTTGGGGTCTTCCCTAGGGAAGGGTAGTAAATATTGTGGAGGGCCTACTATGTGCCAGGCGCCTTGTATTTCCCAGCTCCTTTTATTCTTATCAGTCTGCAAAGCAAGTGGTATCATCTCCATTGCAAAGGTGAGAAACTGAGGCTCAGAGAGATCAAGTATCAAGCCCGAGGTCACACGGCATCTGACACAGAGCCCATGCTTCTCTGTGGCACTGCAGTGTCACCTGGGAAACTGGGCCAGATTCAGTCAAACAACCGTGCATTATTTAGACGGTGAAAAAGCCTATGTCATTCAGCCCTGGGACTGCGTTTCCCCATCCCCTCCGGTTAGTCTGGGACTCATGTTTGAAGTCAGTCTGTTCACACCTCTGATTGTCTGTGGGGTGCCCAGGGTGCCCCCACTGTGCCCAGAAGCATTGCCAGACTGAGGCAGATACACCCCACTGCTCTCTCCACTGCCCCAGAACCTTCCATCCCACCAGGGAGTTAAAAACAGCCCTGCCCAGGGCAGCCCGATGGGACTTACGGTCAGGAAGTCAGTGGTCAGTGGAATCCCATGTAGGGAGAAGCCACTGTGAGCCAGAGGGACCAGAAGGCTTCCTGGAGGAAGCAGCACACACGTGTGCCTGGGGGATAACAGGAGCTGACATTTGTCGAGCTTTTGCTATATGCCAGTCCTGTGGGCAGTTCTTAGGTCCTATTACATCATGTAACCCTCTCAATAAACCTAGGAGACGCGGACTACCATTGTCTCCCTTTTTACAGATGGGGAAACTGAGATTAATTAAACTGTCCAAGGTCACGGAGCTAGTAAGTGGCAGGACTGGGATCCCAACCCAGGCCTTCTGGTTCCTGAGTCCATATTCTCACCTACCACCTCCCCAAGAGTAATCACAATAATCAGAGCCCCCCAGGCCCCCATCCCCTGCACGCTCACCAGGGCAGGCCTGGCTAAGCCCTTCCAACCAGCATTCATTTCATCCTCCCTGTGGCCCTGGGAGGAGGGGATTATTACTCCCACTTACACATGGGGAAACAGAGGCTCAGGATGGGCAAGAGACTTCCCCAAGGTTGCACAGCTGGCAATTCGACTCCCAGCCCTTTTCCTTTCCCTGCTCCACTTGGAGGAGAGCAGACCTCCTTCAATATACCCTCTTCACTCCTCCACCGGCAGGGTTCTGATACTTCTCAAAGTGGCTTTTTTTTTATAAATAAAGAAATAAGCCAAACCCAAGCGCCACATCATTAGGCGGGTCCCAGTCCTGGGCGTGGCCCTCCCAGGCGTCCTCACCAGCGGGGAGGGGCCGACCCACCTGCTTCTCCTCCCAAGCAGGGCTGCTAGATTTAGCAAACAAAAATAGAGAACACCTAGTTGGACTCGGGCTTCAGATAAACAACAAATAATTATTTTAGTCTAAGGATGTCCCATGTGATATTTGGGACATGCTTACACTAAAAATATATATATATATAAATTGTTTATCTGGATTTCAAATTTAACTAGGCATCCTGGATTTTATCTGG